ACCGAAAAGTATCGATAACCGAAAGTATCGATTTGCATCTGTAGTTGACGGTGAGTTTGACGTTTGATTAATGACGTCGCGAATGGACGTCGGACATCATATTTTTGCAGCGCGCTTTAGTTACGTCGATTGAGGATTTTAATTTTCGCGGATACCCCGCGAAATTGCCAAGGATACAAAGATCGTCTCAGGCACAGACCTATCGATTTCTTTCCTTGAGCGACAACGATTATCGGACGGATTAAAGTAGTTCTACGGTAAAGTATGCAGTACACTAATCTCATCATAATCCGCCTCACGTTGGTGGAATGCCCGTGAAAATATTGGTGTATCGCCGAGTGATAATCCACCTGATAAGGATGCTGATAGTTGCTGCAGTAAGCACTGCTTCCTTATCATTATTATTAGCAGAGGCGGAAGGATGGGCATTTTGCGTGTTTATTTTTACGCTCAATGCGCCGAAAATATATATTGTTGAAACTGGCAGAAATTGCTTTCTTAAGTTGAATCGGTGACAGTATTCTACCGATGATTAGTAAGTATTCATTAATTTTTAGTGAAAGCTCCTCCACTCAGCTCTTTTGTCTAATACTTCGGTGATTTTTACCAGTGAAAAATTCATAAATCGCTGCAAATTGTTGTTACGCGTCCCATATAGTAGAAATATACGTACATGTATATACATTCAACCATATGTCATATTTTTGGCGTAGTTCGTATGGTAGTAGGCTTGAGAACTGGAGATTCAAGTTTAAGTCCTATCATGATAAGTGTATTTTTCAAGTATAGTAACAATTAAATCAATTAAATATAATTAAAAATGTTACTGATTTGCAGTGCTATAGTTATAATTATGATCATTAATGACTACTTCTCAGTAATAATACACTGATTGCACTTTAGAGAGTATATTTCTTTGAAAGTGAGATACATATCAGTGGAATAACTGGGGCGCATGTTTGAAATGAAAATTTTATTTTGTTACGAAACTCACGAATATCCTCGTGTACTTTGCATAAGCCCGCTGAAGTCGAGACACCCGGTGATTAATAGTTATTAAAATTTACCGAGACTAGCCTACTGTGGAAATTCAGAAGCGCTTATTTTCGTATATCAATCGATTTCCAAAAGGAAGCCGTCATGTATCTTTGACATCAGAGTTCTACCGCAATTGTGAAAATACCGTCTATTTTCGGCGGTCGTGACATTCGCCGCTGCGATAAACATCCTTTGCCGTTTTTATTACCGAATATTATGCGCGAAGTCACTCGTGTCTCTTAGTGTTCGGTTTCGTGTACGTTGATGTGAATTTATCCGCGACGATGTCATGAGATGCTGCTCAAATATGCGCACATACACACATATGTACAACGATCTGCATTCTATTTCCACCACTCCTACAAACGAATTTCCGGCCGTCACCACTTCCTAAATAAATCGACTTATCCGAGAGTATTAACCTGAGAGAAGTCTGCGCTGACTTTTCAAACGCGAGCATCGACGAATTTAAATTGAGAATAGGAAGGTCGAGTCAACGATCACTCCGTCGCTTTTCGGAGTGAATCTACGATTCCTGGCGCAAAATAAAGACGAAATTATTGATCGCACAGCTGGTATAACTTCCGGTATCGGACACGCACGTCGAAAGCACTCGTTCGCGCGTTGTTATTTCGTAACAGGAGTCATTAGCATCCACCCGCGTTAATTAGCGGAAGTTCTGCCATACGTATATAGGCTCGATGCGCGAGAGGTATCAGGGGGGTGGTACGTGATAATGCGCGATATACATGTAGGCAGTCTCTCCCGTGCTTTTTCCCACTTCTCGGCGCGTATCGGCGCGTAACGGCGAATTATCCACGGGCTTTTAGCCGCGGTTCCACCGTAGTTCTACCGTGAAATCGACACGCCTACGACCTAGGCGAGATTTGTGCGACGGGGTGAAGACATCGCGAGCACGAGTGAAGGGCGGTTTGCGTTGGAAATGTTCACCCTTGTCGTGATCGTATTTCGAAATATCGAGCACATTGCATCGAGAGATACAAACCAGGGCTAGAAATTATAATCGAAGTTTCGAATTTCTGGACCTTCGAAACGTTATGTTTGAATATTGAAATTTTGAAGTGTGAAAATTCAAATATTCGAATGTTTGAATATTCGAAACTTCAAAAACTGGAAAGTACAGGAGCAATAATATGGTCCCTCACTAAAATAGATTAAAAAAAAATTGATTATTGGTTATTACTTAATTTGTTGGAAAAACACTAAAAATTGGCGTTGTTACAAATTTATATATTTATTCAAATTCAATTTTCTTAGAAGGAGCAACAATGAACATGATCGTGATTTTTTAATGTAGATATACTTATTTACGATTACGAGTATTTATTTACGATATTCTAAATATTTTAAACGAAATATTTAAAAAGAAAAATCCCCAAAAATGTCTTTCTGACTGTTCCAACCGTGACGATACACACATTTATGTTGTCCGAAAAATAACATTGCAATAATATCGACGAAAAAAAATGCATGAAGATATCGATCTGTTTAGCAAAGAAAACAAAGAACCAGGCGCTTCACATAAGAGTACGCGGAAGAACACTATGATAGATGAGTGACATGTATACGACCGTCGTGAAAAAAGACGCTCTAAAAGATATGAGAAATGGAGAATGGCGATGCTAATATGCAGTAGTGATTAGCAAACATGAGCGCTATTTGGATTCTAACTGGCCTAAGTGACGGTAGTTAACGATTAAATATTAACGGCAGCGAGATTCGATAGTGCCGCAGCTCGCGTACGGGCGATTGAGAGTATAAATTAACATAAATTAGATATAATTGTATCCGCAGTTCTCCGTGAATAGACGGTGTGCCGAGAGTGTTTCGGATCTCGCGTTCAACGAATTCACCGCCGACACTCCGCTTCGTTAGATTTCGTCACATTCGCGTTAGAAAGGAAGCTCGCCGTTATCCGTGCCGGGAGAGCTCACGTATGCGAGAGAGCGCGGATATTAGTATCTCATATCAGCTTTTATCAGGGTGTAGCGAATTTTATGGAGATGGAGGAGGAACTGTATTCGATTCTACGCCACTGACTGATATATAGACGCTGATTCGGTCCCAATGCACTTAACACCACCCAGCTCTAATGCCATTCTCTCGTCACGAGCGTCCATCCTTGAGAGTCAAGAGACCCGCCAGCTGTTACGAGCCGCCGACAAATATCACGGGACGATAAACGTTAACTTTGAACGCCAAAAATGACGTCATTGTCTTCGATTAAACGTTAGCATTAACGAGGAGATTACACGTGAATGAAGATTAAAAGCACGCAGGAGGGTTGCGCGATCGAACTATCGGAGATGCTCATTCACGAGCAATGCCGTTCGTACATCGAGAAAAAGATTTCTTCAAATTTAATAAATTTAATACATTTTATTGCATCCAAACAAATTTCATTATTGGCCTGCTTCGAAAAAAACTAATGTATCGATTAATAAGTACGGTCGTTAGATTTTTTCAATATGTATCTTTATTTTAAATAACAAAATTTGTTTAAAACGAAAGATAATTTTCTTACAAAGAAATGATTTCTTTCATCTCACATATTTATTGTAACCAAATGATATTTTATTTAAAAGATATTATTCCAAATAATAGCGTTCTTTCTGTTAAATAATAGAGTATTCTTGAGTGAGACGATAAAATTTTTACTCAAATAGAAATACTATAGAAACCTTTTTCCCCGTGTAGTTTATCACTTCATTCTCATTTCGCATCGCAATTAATAGAAGCAACCGCAATTAACAGCAATCGTTGTCAGTCGCCTCACCGGTATCAGCAGTTGCGCGAAGCTGGACGCGACCCGGAAAGTCGATGAGGTCTTTGCACAGCAGCGGACGGCGGATCGACCTCCGCGTATCGAGGCATCCGCGTACTTCCGGAGTCCTACCTCCCGCGCGACGATCGAGTCGTCTTCGGCGTAAGAACGCTGCGATTGCTTTACGCGGCGATACCTGAGGTGTACGTTGGAGCGTGTAAATCCCATATATCCAATTAGATTCGTATAATCCCCGTATGTTAGCGGAGGGTGTCCCTACCCCCCCTCTCGGTCTCCCTCTGGCTTCTCTTCTTCGTGCGTGTCCCGCTGCCGCACGTGTGTGTACGTACGGCTGCGCTTCGGCGGCGCAAGCGCGCATCCCGCTCTAATACTAAAGTACTAATTTATGGACACACATGAGATGGCTATAGTACGCGCTACCGCGCCAGAAAAGGGACTATAGTCTGGAGGAGGACAGGAGCGGGTGAGAGGGAGGAGGCGGCGGTGCTGCTGCCGCTGCTGTTGCCGGTGGAGGTGGTGGCGGCGGCGGTGGCGGCGATGGCGGTAGTGGTGGTGGTGGTGAGATAGGGCGAGGGTATATCGGAGAACACAGAGGCGGGCTTTGCATGCGATATCAATAAATCAAGTCCCCGGGACCCCGGCAGCTTAGGGGGCCACTACGTGGCCAGAATCAACAGCTCATAACGTCGGCTAATAGCTACCCGCGGTGGGGTCGAAGATATTGTCGTAACACCCAGGGACATCTTACCGTCGCAATGGTTGGATTTGGTTGCGCCCTATCGAGGACAAAAAATGTTATCGCGCGGGCGAGAGGGGGACGAGAGGGGTGGAGAAGGCGCGATTTTCGATCGCGTAGGATCCGAACGAAGATTTGCCTCAGCGGCGAATTAACGATCGGAGATCGATGCGTTCCTCCTCCTGTTCTGTTCGTTGATAAACATTCGGCTGGGCCAATTGGTTCTCGAGGAATAGATCGCCGGAATAGATCGATCGGTACAATTCTCCGCGCGAGACAACGGACAATCTCGCCGGTGAAAATCTCAGTCCGTCAGCGGCAATTAAAGAGAGCTTGAAGATCGTTGGTCTGTTTTCTTTCTTTTCTGGGCGGCAACAGCTACGACGACGTCGACGACTGATCTCTTATCCCGTGCCGCAGGTATGGTTTCAAAATCGCCGAGCGAAATGGAAGAAGCGCAAGAAGACGACGAACGTGTTCCGGTCTTCCGGATCGTTGCTACCGTCGCATGGCTTGCCTCCTTTCGGAGCGATGAGCTCGGAGTTGTGCGGCGCTGGGATGTTTCACACTCCTGCGGACAGATGGGGAATGGGGACAGGTCAGTTATTAATAGGTTTTATTAATAACTAACTGTATACGAGAGGTGCGCGAGACGAAAAAAAAGATATGCCACCCGCCCTCTTACATCGACCGGACAGGAAACGCTCTTTCGATCGGCTTGTATTATTTCTCACGCGAAGATCCCCGATATATTCGCCGCGATGAAACATTAAAAATGAGCTTTGTATCGCGGGGAGTCTTTTGAAATCTCTGAGGAACGTCTCGTCCGATAGATATTTCCGTAGCGGTCGTTAATTTCACGCGTCATTCGGGATCAAGGATGAAAAAGGAAACAGAAACAAACGTTACCCGTTACTTTCTCTAACGTGTAACACGAACCGTGAAATTAATACGACGTGTTTTTCGTCGAAAATATTCCACATGTTTGTGCGAAACAATCTAACTCGCAGGTATGAAACATTTTTACAGCCAAATCAGGCAAAAATATCAACGGCTGGACATGTACCTAACTTTCGGCATTCTTCTTGTTTTAGTCTTTAAATATGAATATTCAAACTTTCAACATAGTATATATAATATATATATATATGCCTGAACGACTGAACAAAATGTACGAAACACATATTAAAGGGCTACATATACCCAAGTTACTGGAAAGCATTCCATGAATTTTTCTACTAATCACATTATTGATTTTATGAAGATGTCTTTTTGAGGAACTACTAGACTGATTTAATTGTAGTTCTGCATAGATATTCTTAGTTAGATTATCTAATCTTTGTAGTAGTTGATTTTTAAAATATTAACTTTTGATTAAAGTTATTAACATTCGAAGACGAAAGTTCGATTTTTCATCACAAAATTTCTTCTCTTTTTGTTTGTAAAAAAAAAAATATAATAAACGTTAAAAATTCCATTATGTCCGCGACGGCGGGTGCAACGAGAACGACTCGCGAGCACACATACATGAGTACCTTCGAAAGCACGATTTAATCGAGACACATTAACCGCGCGCGCTCATGCAAATCGCAACCGCGATTCGCCGTGTCATTTTGTGTACGATATGATTAGCGTCTTGTATGCGCGTTAGCGGGCGAGAAGAAGCAACACGCGTGAAGGAAACACCGATTCTCGTAGACGAAGTCGCGACGATGCTCGCCTCCTAATTTAATTTCGCCCGTCCACTAGCTGAGACAGCTGAAATTACTTACGCGTATTAACGGCCCCACGGCTATTCACCGACAGCGTCGACGACGACTACGACGAGGACAAGGACGACGACGACGACACCCGATCCTTCCCGGTTTCTTCGCGTCCCGCGTCCGTAGCATCTCGCACTTGTATTAATTGTCTTTCGCGCATTCATCGGCACTCACCGATCTCCGCAGGTCTCGGCCAACTGCAGGGTGGCATGACAATGAGCAGTTTCGGGCAACTCGGCCAACAAAGCACGGGAAGCCTGGGCTCGAGCCTGAATCTTGGCAATTCCGGGCTCCCCATCAACAGCCCGTCGCAATCCGTCTACCATACCAGTTACGGACTCAACTCTATCGGTGAGTTATGGCGAATTCTCGTAAGAGATCATGGGCTACAGTTGGGATAGCTTTTCCATTGCAGTACTTGACGGATAAACTATCGTCCGACGTCATCTGATTTCGATTAACCGAAAGAATTCATATAAATTTAAATTTAACGCTAAAATAAACTAAGATCGGGACGATATCTTTAAATTACCATTTGATGTTACCATTTCACAAGTAAAAAATAAACTATTTTTAATACTTTCACAACAAAAATATGTTTTTCTCACAAAAACACCTATTTCGGACATTTCAAAACGTCTCTTTAACGGTCCAAAAAAATATATATTTTTCGAACAAGTACTAAAGTTATATTTTTCCCCGTTAGAATTATCTTTCAACCTCATCGCTTTATCAGTCGTAGATTAAAATAATAAAAAGTGAAAAATTACGTTTTTTTCAAAGCAAAACACTGCTATTCGCGAGGCTACTCTCTAAATTCGAATTTTTTCAGTGAGTTTAAAATTTGATTTTCTACGAATACATCGTCAAACATTCAAATAGAAGAGTTATACTTTATTCTAGAATTTTTTCAATCTCTATCCTTCCAGTTTTTTTAATATGGAATTTAGAAAATCACGCGCATACGTTTAATACGACTTTGTTTGCAATGCGAGCGACTTTTCGGAAGGTGCGGCCGAAGAATTTTGTCTTTATTTCCTCACTATCCACGGCTTTTCTAAGAACGAATTCTGGATTACGTGCACAGATTGTTCAACTGTGTCTAGACGTTAGAAACGTCGTAGAGTCGCACCTCGCCACGTCGGAGACGACTCGAGCACGAATGTAACGCCTCTCGCGTATTTCTCTCCACTTATTCAAGTAGCACGAGCTGTTGCCGGGCTGACGGCGATGTGCGAGAACGCGAGTAGACACACCCAGAGAACGTCTCGGCGACGTTCGCGCCGTTTATACGACCTGGCCGCTTATACGCGCGCCGATAATCGTCTTGCCAAACTTTTGGACCGTGGTCCTCTAAAAGACAGCGCGCAAACAGCGCGTCGTGGAAGTCTCTTTGACGAAGTCGTTAAACGTTACGGTGCATTAAGGTCCGAAGGGGTTATGCGCTTGCACGTAAGGAATTTGAGACAGAAACATAAACTCCATCCTCCCGTCTGTTTACGCAGGCAAACTCCGAGCCCGGTCTCGCACCTAGGTGCGAGATCTTTCGCTGTATGTTTACCATAACATCTCGATGCAACCTGTCTTGGTTGAGTTACGCTCTGCCTCACCTTACCCGGGGACCTTGTACCCTCGAAGGTGCTTCGGGGGATAAATCGCGTGTGAAATTCCTCCTCTCACCGAATCGCTATTGAGTAAGGCAACTGGCGGCTGCAATTTCTACACTGAGACGCGTGAAAGCGAGATTTTCACTTCAATACAGAAAGGTCATGCTTCTACATCGAAATATATATATTGAGTTTTTTTTCTTTTTTCTCGCGAGACTTATAGAGATTATCCGACGGTCGGATAAACTGTTGCGATTTTCGACTACGTCGAATTGTTGAATACACTGTAATGGGGCTCAACGTGTCGCTCGTTACATATTGACACTCGATGTATTTACGTAATACAAAATTGCGAATTCGAATTTCGAACGATCATAGTTTCCTACGGTCCACGAAAAACGATGCAGCATGGATCACAGCGTTCGTGAAATCTGAGAAATAACGAGTTTGCGAGACAGATGGATAATAAGAAAACCGATAATAAAAGAAAAAGAATTTTGCTGTCTTCCACGGTGGAATATTTTTTCCATTTAAGCATATCCCACAGCAACTAATAAACTGCATGTACTTCAAGGAAAATATATACTATCGAGCGTCGTCTTTATCGGGCACATATCGGTGCGCACGAATAGAGCAATTCGTTTTGTATCGATGTGTACATGCTTTAGGCACTGAGGTCATCAACCCTGAAGACAAATCCGTCGAAACGGTACAAATCTTCACGAGCACATCAGATTCTCTCACCGAGTACAAGTTGTGCGCGAGAGAACAGTCGAGAGTGATATCAAACGCCTTCAAGATCACTGTAATTATAAGATAATAATCACGTTATCGTAAAGTGGAACTCTTTTTCCTCGATAAGAAATATATCGATCATTAGTACACATTCGGCACGAAATTCACAAAGATGTATAATAATCCAATTCCGCGCTTTCCCATGTAGCACAAAGGTTCAATAGACATCCTACGGACGTCCCAGAGATACTCGAATATTCCTAAGACGTTCCTAGGATGTCTATAAAACACTTATAAAACACTTGTACTATTATGGGCTTCTGCGGTAATCTGACTTTCCTGAAAGAAGTTTATGGTAAAATCCAGCGCAATGTGATTTCACAGGTTAGCTGCAAGGTACATCTAGATCATGTATGTGTATGTGTGTATTTCTGTGTATGCAGACGCACGTAACGTTTATACAGTGCCAATTACCAGGCATTATCGTCAAGCAACGTCACTCGAGAGGAAAAAAAATCGTCGTTCCATGAGCACGCCAGTGTGTACGTGTGTGCGTGCGTATGCACGAACGCGGCGGTTTTAAGATGAACACGTCTCTAGTTCGTAGCCCGTGGCCAGCTATTCGCCTTTATTCGCGGATAATACATAGAGCAAATAGCTTTTAGAGCAGAGCGTTATTTTTCGGTTACCGATGATGATTAGCACTGCAATGTAACCCGACGACACCGAAGCCGAAGCGGTAGCTAGTCGATTGAGAAGTTCCATTTGGCGTCTCTCCTACAACGGCCACTCACAGTCGGCCGGTCGCAAACAAGCCTCTATAACGTGTAAATTAACGCGTCTCAAAACGCCCAATTTTCGAAGCACACCGCGACGCCAGCGGCGTGAAAGTCGCGTATCTCGGTCGCTACGGCTATTAAAACCAGCGTGATTTCTGCAAGCGCGGACTTCAACGCTCGCCAGAACTACGCGCGAGGACGAATTTCGTATTTGTTTCTAACGCATTTCGAAACGAGGATCGCGATATTCGTTTACATACACGCGTATACTTCGGTTTTGTTCTTAAACGTGGAACTTTGTCGATCTTATGTAATCGCGGACACGCTGTTCATCGAGAGAGATGCTGTCGGGAGAAAGAGAGAGAGAGAGAGAGAGAGAGATAAGTGCATTGATGAGCATCTCGCGCTGCTCTGCAAGATTGTAGTTAAATCAAGTTTTAAAAAGAGATAGTTAATTAAATAGATAGATGAAAAGAGAAAGGAGAAAGAGAGAGAGAGAGAGAGGGTGGGAGTGAGGGGGAGGGGACTAAAGGTCGTAAAATCACATACATCGTCGCTATTAGATATTCGTTCCTTGGTACGGCTTTTGAAAAGCGGCGGCCGGCCGTAGTCCTCCGCAAACTTGTGTTCGGAGCAACAACGTCGTAAAATGGTCCCTTTTCCCCGTTGTCTTTCGAGCCCACCAGCGTGGAGAGCGCGAGGAGGCGGAAACGACTTTACGACACCGGTAGCATACGCACCCCAACGGCTCTTTGTCAGCCTACCGTATTAATATCTTCTGCGGAGGAACGGAGAAACGCTCGCTCGCTCATTCCTGCACCTGCGATATCGCACCTGTAAATTGCTTCTCCTCTACCTGAGTTGACCGGGGGGTGCGAGCAAGCCTAATTCGTCCACGCTGGTAGAGAGACTCGTGGACGAGAGAGACTCCATCATCGTAAATATTTATTCTTTATTACCTCGCTGTGTTCACAAGCAAATATATTTTCTATTTGGCACTGCGAAATCGCAAACTTTCTCGACGGAAGTCCAGTTGTAAATTCACAGAATAATTTAGGAGTCGGTTCGGTAGTCCCGAGCGATCGTTTAAATGATCCGTCATCGATTTACCGACACTAATGAGATCCAATTGTCCCACGAAGAGGCGCACTTTAATCGTCACTTTCTTCTACTTTTCAGGCGGCGTTCACGTGTCGGCGTCTCGAGGCTCGCCGCCGGGTAGTTCCTCGGTGGGTGGCGGTCAGGGCGGCGGGATGGGCTCAAGCCTGAACTGCGGTCAAGGTTCGCCAGGTACGACTTCCGGTAGCGGAGGCGGCGGCGGCGGAGGCGGTGGCGGCGGCGGTGTTTCCTGCGTCGGTGCCGACGTGAGCGCGAACGAGGCGTCGGACTGGAGAGGCGCCCACAGCATCGCGGCGCTCAGACGCCGCGCCTCGGACGCGTCGCAACAATACAGTCCACAGCCGCCGCCGCCACCCCCAGGACCACCTCAGTACACCCACGACATGGAGTACAGTTCCGTTTATTAAGGCGTCGGTCCAAACGTCCTAATCGTTCAGTTCCACGGAAAAGAAAGAAAACAGAGAAACTGCCGGCCGGTAGGAGCTTATGGTAATCCCATGGAACGAGTACTCCTCCCTCTCTCTTTCTCTTCCCCCCTCTCTTTCTCTCTCTCTCTCTTCTTTTCTTTCTTCCTGTCTATCTGTCCTTTCTCTCTGTCTATCTGTCTCTTTGTTCTGTGAAAGCATCGTGAGATGATCGAACATTGTGCTCTCGTGACTGATTCTACTACGGGGGAACGAGGGCGTGACGAAAGCGCAATTAGGCAAGCTGATCTAGCTGGTCCATCGTGAATTTAATCGTGAAGATAGTGCGGCAAGATCAAGATCGACGGCATATCGTAATAATCATTTGGATGATTGGCGGAGGTCCGAAATCGCTCGGCGTTTCGAATCTAACACGAGGCCGGTGAGGCGCGGCAAATAACGACGGAATTAGAATGGTTAGATAATTCCGGGTGGGCGTGTGTACGTGTGTACATGTGTGCGTGTGCGTGGGCGTATGTGTGTGTATACGAGTGTTTCAACTGGTAGAGATTCTCACAGCTAGTCGGCAAGAATACATAATAGCTTAACGATTGCGGAAACTCGACGTAACGCCAGAATTTCTGTATTCTTGAGGCCATGCGAGCTCGTTGTAATATAGAGTGTTCCGCCAGCAGAAACAGGTACAAGAGTAACGCGAGGAGTCTGCGAAAGGAGTACTCTTCTTCTATGAGTTAATTGCGAAATCGAAGTCAGGGTAGAGGATCGGAATTGCTGGCAGCATCGACAGCGACGATTCGCGTACAATACAGATTCTCGTCATAGCCTTCCCGGGGACTGTGTCGTAGCATACCGTATCACATAGACTACAGTTTCTGCGAATGTGTCTTATCGATTATGCTAAATATTGGACTAATCATTGACTCGATATATAGAAATAGAACGAGGGCAGACGCGAACGATGAGAGTGGTCGTGTGATAACGTTCAAAATCGAAATTTTTTAAAATTGATGTAACGAGTAAAAATTCGCCTGACACGTAATAATCTAATCTAGTCAAATGCCCTTTAAATCTGAGCAGTCGGGAACGTTAGTTAATATTTCGTAGAGGAAGCCAAATCACGTGGAACTTTTAATTGGCGTATCATCGGTATCTTTGGCGTTTCTCCATTCAGGTGGTTCACAGAAAGTCGAACAGTTTCCTTCTCTCAGACAGAGCCGTTACGACGATTGACGAAAAATTATTCAACCAAACGAACGTTTCTATTCAAAAATTGATCTCCGTCGCGATGGTTTCAATAACGCCGCTCGACAACGGCGGTTGACCGTCGATCTCTTCTCCCCATACGACTGCTTTCAATATATTACCATGCGTTTCTTCGACACTGTAAAGTCCACTGCAGTTATTATGAGTTATCTCAAGAGCCCGGATGTCAATAACCAAATTATATCCCCTCCGTCACGATATTGGAAATATATTTTATTCCCAGTGAGAGATTGAACACGCTATTTAATAATCGCGCTGCTGAGCTGTCATTGACGGAAAGAGGATGGCAGCCCGCGACCTGTGCAGATTTGTGATTCTCGTGACACGAGGAGTATCGCGATACGTCCCGAAGAGGAAAGATTAAACTGTAAACAAGTATGACTAGCTTCACGAACAGACTCGCCCTGGGTTGGCGCTGTGCGCTCTGGTAAAAAAAAAAAATATATCGGAGTGGCTACTTCATATATGCTTATATTGATATAATCACCGAGTGCCCGTCGGACGATTTGATCAACTCCACGTGCTCGCACGCGCGCGTGTCGATTTATTTTCTCCCGAATGAACCAACGAATCCCGATTCTCGCGACCGAGTGGCGCGATCCGTTGTGGTTAAAAAGCACAGTCGTTAAACTCCGCTCGTTTTCGCCCTCGTTAGAGGCGTCTCGAGTGTCTGTACGTTAGCCGGCGCTAAAGGAACGTCGATGAGATTAAGACCTCGCTAATTGTAAATTATTTAACCGCATTCCGAGGAGTGACTATGTGACAAACTGATTAAGGCGTGGGTTTCCGCCACGTGATCTTCATTTGCACTTGTTTCCTCTCAAGCGGGCGCTTCTCGCTTCACGACGTTGTCGGACGCGGCGATAATGCACGTCGCGCCCCGAGCCGTGCCGAGATCAAAGCGGAAGTCGTGGCGAGGTGCAACGAGATGTATACGACAAGTTATCTTAGTATTATACATATAGTATATATATAGTATATATACACACACACACACACGGCATTGTAAATATAGTAAAAATATTGACGTGATAGGGTATTATTATGGATTATCATCGCAATCACCATTACTCGCAAGCGCGACGGTGCTGCTTTCGTTCACAGGCTGTTCGGCTTGCAATTCGCATCGCAAATAGCGTTTAACGAGGCTGTACGCGCGCACATAGTCGTTTGCTTCGGAAACGATATTTTTTTACGGAACTTTGAACGTTTGTTGTTATGATTTCGAGCGCGAATCACGACGGCATCCTGAGTTTGAGCGAGTACAGAACTTCCGAGAGCCTTCGCTTCTCTCCCCGGCGGCAGAATCCTTGTATCGTGCGTTCGTCGACGTTATAACAACCGGAAGCTTTCGCCTGTTCGGAGACAGAGCTTCTTACCTCATGTGTGTATGCGTGTGTGTGTATGACGAGAGATTAGAATTGCTTTCTGGACAGCGTAGAGCAAACGCTAATCTTCCTTACAATATGCACTGTCAATTAGAGGGAAACTCCTGCAAAAGAAACTTGTCGGACTTGTGATTTTGAGAAGTTGTGCACAACTGAAAATTGTCGTTCCTATTCTCTTCTAACGTTAGACAGCGATCGCGAATCTGCCGCTCAATGATTCTGTCCGCCGAACGAAGAACTCTATATGTTAATACGCGCAACGACAAGGAAATGAAAACCTAGTCTTTCTCGTCTCGATATTATTATTTTGCGTTACGAGCGTGGTCACGCGGGATCTCGCTTGGGTAGAGATACGTGGCACACTTATTAACTTATTGATACGATCATTTCTTTCTTCGTATCGCAAAAGTCCCCGGCTTCTCTCGACGAATCCGAGTTAGAACAGAGCGGACGTCGTTCGTCGCGCAACGAGGTGCACTTTGATTTCTCTCGGAAATGTGTTTCTTCTTCTCACGCTGATGAGAATGCGCGCGATCTTAGCGTAAATTCGTATGTCACAATTTCGGAGGATTTTATGGTACGCTATAAGTATACACACATTGTTCCGTTGTTGTCATCGAAACGTAAGGTTTTGTAAATAAAACATACATCTAATAATAATAATAATAATAATAACAACAATAATAATTACAATAATGATGATAGTAATAATGATAATTATTACAAGTATAATAATAACAACAACGATAACAATAATACTAATATTAATATTAATAATAATAATAATAATAATAATAATAAAAAAGGTATAATGAGTATGATGATATCAACACTATGATCGAACGCGAGTATACATGGACATTGTGATATATTTTGGGCCGGCCGTCCATTTTTTCGACGGCGACGTCGGCCCGCACACGAGATATTCTGAGCGGTACCGGTGGTAGATTTGCGAGCGACCGCGAAGAGTCGACTATTCTAGTTACGAATTTACGGTAGATCTAGGTAAACCTAACGATAAATATGGAATAACAGATAGGCAATTGTCAGTGTATTACTACGAATGTATACGATTTTTAATGTACAAAAAAGCGCGGTGGCGCGGTGTCGCGGTGACGTCCCCCCTCACGATTTCGTCCTGTCGTCCTGGGACGGAGAAGCAAGACCTTACGATGTTCATCGGAGTGTTTGTGGTTCCTTATTTTCGAATGCTTCGTGCAATACCTCGTCGTTGAGCCTGCGTTCTTTTAACACGCAAAGAAAAAAAGAGCTATTGTATTCGGCAAGAGAGAGAGAGATAGAGAGAGAGAGAGAGAGAGCGCTTCGTCCTGCGTTGCTGCGCGTGCAAATTGGCGTGTCGCTGACGAGCTAGGCGGAGATTCTCGCGTCAGGATCAATCGCGTCGGCTGGTCGGAAAATAATTTTTTGCTCGAGAATTCTGATGTTCAACTGATCGGTTATCTTTACGTGGATATCTCTGGAGAATAATGTATACGACGGTGGAAATATGAGATCGGATGCAATTTTGTTTCTTGTCAAAGTTTTCGACTCGCACAAGAACGGAGAAAAAAGATTTTGCTGTCACAGCCAATTATGGTTTAGCTGAGAATATTTTGTTTCCGCAACCAAAACTTCGGTCACTGTTGCTAGGTGTATAGGTACTACGCCTAATATATATATACATATATATATACCTACTGTAGCCAAACTTGTAGGTGTCCATATACTAACTGAACTCCGTTATAACATATGGACACCTGTTTAACTACAGTAGATATGTATCAGACATGGCACCTATATATCCAACAACAGTAACCAAAGTTCTAATTACGGGAGCAAATTTCCAGCTACAGCAGCAAAATGTCTTCAGCCAAACGCTATGATTAGCTGCGTCAGCAAAATCTTTTCTTCCGTGACAGCTGACATCTACGCCGTTTTCAAGACGACGCATCATAAAATTCGAAATATCAGGAGTGTAAAACGCATAATTAATTATTTAAATTTTTATGGGTTAAGAACGGAATGAATATCTCATATTGCCACCCATCTCTCTTCCACTAATGACGCGCCAATTTACGCCCGCGCAGTTAACTTGTCTCGTTTCGCCCCGTTCTCGGTTCAGACGGTTTTGAGAGCTTCGATCGGTGTCCTTGATGATCGTGATACCTCCCGTTTTAAGCGAAAAACACAATCCCTGTATTTATTTAATTTATCGTACGTGTGTAGATAGATTTTTTCCAGCGCGAGCGAGAAAGTTGACGTTCCCCTTCCTTTCTTTTCTTAATTTGCGGCGGGTGCGGGCGTCGCTCTTTATAAGTGATTTGTAACATACATGGGCTCTGCTGATTGTACGTTTTAATCGTTTATCGCGTCGAAGTTAACTCAGTCAAATCGCGCAATCACGCAGAGATCACCCGATTCTTCAGATTCGCGCGAATCGGGAGAGAATCGACTGACTTTATTGCATCTTTATCACAAATCATTATCGTCGACGATCTTAATTAGCGGTAAAATAGGCAGAATTTTAATTTTCATCGTTGTATAGTTGTGTATAGGGGTCAACTAAGTGTGTAAAATAAATCATTACTAAAATACCGATCGATTTTTCCCTCGTTTCCCGAACACCCTCTCTGATCACTTAATCCGTTTTGATCAAAGTGTCTTGAAGCGAGTCTCGGTACTTACTAAATAATCATATGTATACGTACAGTAGGGTAGTACAAACACTCAACTTTTATTTGAAAATATACATTTTCATATTTATGTAGATACATATGGATTATATATATACGCCCCCTTACATTGTACAGAGAGAATGTATTGTTGCACTGTGAGTTACAAAGGGAAAAATCTAATTAGAAATTAAAATTATACCTACGATATATCGATCTAAATTAGCGCTCGTCACAAAGCGGAAATAGGATTGAATTGAGCGTATGTATATTTTATTCATTGGCTCGTAGAATATGCTACGATGGAGATACGAAGACAACGGGTTTTGTTAAATTAACACCGAGCACTCTCTATCGAAAGGGATAAATGAAGTCGACTCTGTGGAAACAACGTATGTATACATGCAGTCTTTCACAGATTAATTCAATACTTCGAATATCAGCGATATACATTGCATATACACGTCAGAAATATATATGCTAGATAGATTTAAGTGGAAAATAGTTCTGGATAAGATCTTATGTTCGAGCAATCGTGTCCCTTCAAATTTCGCATCAATGTCCATTCCGTAGTGATATGTTGGCGCAACGTATTACGTGTGAGTCATGTAATATAAATCAGGGAATAATTAATCGAATAAAAAATGCAATTCAACAACAGTGTGTCGCAACATGCGTGAAGACATCGTTCGAGCAGACGTTGTGCCTTTTATCTGCGATAGGAGCAAATCTTACTCAGAAAGGGTAAATACGAAGAATATTTTTAATCGAGCTTTAGACTTCAGTTTTGCACGTCACGCACGTACGTATGCACTGTGTGCAATTGGAAAAATTCGAGGCACGTTGTCATAAAGCACGGCTATTTATATGAACTTCCGTAAATACTACTACGGATTAGGACAAACACGTTCATCGAACTTGTCCTTGTCTAAAAGTAATCGATAAGTCTGCTGTCTTTAAAGCTGCACTTATTTATATATTCATGAGAAATCGACTAAACTTGATAAATTTGTGAAGATGTTCTGTTTTATTTTTATTAATTTTATTTAAATATATGTAAATAATTTCTACCAATGAAAATCAAAGTGAACGTATTTTTATATATCTTTTTATGTATCTTTTTAAGAGCAAATAAGAATGAGAGCCTGTAATTATTAAAAAGGACAGGATTTAATTTCCTTCGTTCCAGGTAAGTCTCGTTTTTATGCACGATTATCTCGTATAACGATCAAGTTTTTATTAAATTGGAAAAACATCGCTCAAAAATGCAAACGCTATCATATTAACAATCGAGCGAAAACGTGCATGATTATTATGAAATGTATACACAGTTTAAGCTATTAACATTACCGTCTTAAACAATTTTTCGTCATCTAATCATCTGTTACCTAAAAAATGCTCTGATTTGTAAATTTTTTTATGTATCGTTTGACTTTTTTTTACTTAATAAAGTATAACTGATTATTAATTGTTAACTACGAAACATTTGAAAGAATAGAAAGTAAGAGAATAATTAATGTATATGAAGATTAAATTATATATATATAGTATAATGCAGATACAAACGTTAAGTTCAGTAAAAATATAACAAATAAAAAATGTGATTTTTTATAACTTGATCTACATATTTAATTTCAGTTTATGCGGCTTGGTTTGTCCTCGCATACATCGCGGCATCTCTCCATCTATTTCTAATACTTTTCTGCTAAAATCTTTCATGGTAAATACGTTACACCAAATGGTAATGTCAAATAACTCACCCTGTACATGCGATCGTAAGTAAGCCGACGTACCTTCGCGAGTTATCGTCGGCCGCACTCGGGCCCACTCGGCAATCGTCGGCACTAACGCTCCCAGAATTCAAAGGAGAGTACAGTTCGCGCCCATTCCGCGATCGCGTCGAACATTAGTGAGCAAACGAGCGCGAATCCGTGGTCTCGGTTCGGTAATACTGACGCAATTTTGGCGTTCACGCAAAACGCTTTAAATAACTTTCGCGAGGCTGTTCTCGGGATGCTCGTCCTCCGACGTTTCCGGCTCCGTATTTAATTTGTTAAAGTCGCGAGTGTTCGGACGCTTTTCCAAGAACTTGAAGCTCCGGCCTCGGCGATTCTCCAGCAAACTAGATAGCTTGAAGTTTTCCCGTCTTTCCGCTTCCCAACGCATCCTCTTCCGCATCGTGAGTAAACATCCTGTATAAATCAAAAAGTAAGCATACATTCGCTCGATTTCATATGCAGAAAGCGTCGAAACGCCACAATAAACCCCTCGTGAGACTGTCAACATTTCTTTAATATAATCCGCCATTATGGATCGTATATACAGTTATGTGTGTCGTATTCGAATCGGCATTTGGCATTTTCTAACTACATTTTCTACGCTTTCTGCAACGTTATTCTCTTTGATGTGTTATCAACAGTTCTTAACATTGAAATTAATGCTGGAAACGACGAAGAAATTGCACTCATTCTGTAGATACGATCAATATGCAATAAATAACAAAGACGAATTATACAACAAAGATGAATATATAAATTAGGAAAGGTGCAGGGGGTGGAGGAGGGGAAGAAGTACAAAGGAATAAAATAAATTTTAAACTGAACTAAAAAGTATATTTGTGTGTACAATGTGAATAAATTTCGAAATAAATAAATAATGTAAAAAGAGGTAGGAGAAGAAAAATTAAAAAGGAGTACGTTATTATACGTTCAATCACAAAAGATGCAATATATAGTACAATGCATAGAGACCTGATAGAGTCCATGATACATTACGACATATCTTTAGGACATTTATAAATTTTAAATAATATTTACACAATACATAAGTACTAAAAATGCATAGTAGTATATATAGTACATCCTAACTACAGTGCACATATGAAATATAAAGCCTGAAAAAGAATTATTTCAGATAAATAAACACAAGCACACAACATAGATATTCAAACGTAGGAACATACATAAATTTGTCACTGCTAATGCATGTAGGACAACATAAGTTTGTCACTGCTAATGCATTTGCAAATGCTTACAAATAATAATTGTCACTCTGTCAAGAAAACAAAATAAATATAAGATCTATAAAACACAGCTGCAACTTCAAGAAAATATAGTCGAGAAATATGTTATTCCTTTTTCCTGTTGTGCATTGTGTGATTATATATTACAGATCTTGAATTTTTTAATTTGCACACTTTCATTAAATATTTCTATAAATAAAACAGGAAAGAAGGAACATTCGATGAACTACTACTAATAAACACATTCAAAAACTAAATTAATGTGCATGCACAATATCAAAGATAGACAGCCAAGCGAATAATTTTCTTCTATTCGACTAGCTTTGAGAATTCAATTGTCGATTCGTTATAATAATATGCTCTACCTCTTTTCTGGCATCTTGCTACAATGGCAGCAATAGCGACGCATATTATAATAAATGAAATGGCAGCTGAGCCAAGACCTAAAATCAATTTTGTCATATTACTTTTCTCAGCATCGGCATCTTTAGTATCAGGATGTATTAGAATCTTAGGTCGACGACGATTGGTGGACACTAAATTTTCAGAATGCGTAGAATCATTTACACCTGTAAAGAAATATAAAATATATGTCCAAATGCAAATCAATTTAAAGAAATTTTCTTATAATCTGCGACAAAATAAAAGTAACGTTTAACATCGTTGCATACCTTGTAGAAATCTGTAAACCTTGTGATTATTTAATTCTATTACATATATCTCGGCACCGTCTTCAGTCACATAGAGATCATGTGGATTATTCATGCCTCCCTTGGGCTCGAATATAGAGAGTATTTTCGCAGAATATATGTCAAGCACGAAACCTCGTACCGGTACAGAATGTGGTCTGTACAAATCAGGTCCATTGACTAGATATAATTTTTCTCGAGCATAGGCGACACTGTAGATTTTTGTACCAATAGTGGGATGGCTGTATTCCTTGTGGAATGTACCGTTGCTGGCAAAGAAACATGAGACACGGCCATTTTCCCTGTCAGCGACATAAATGTAGTCTAACGCGCTCGCAAGTGCTAAAGCATGTGGGACGACGAACGCGTTCGGTGGAGGTAATTGTGAGTAAACAGGTCCTGAAATGAATTCAGCTAAATGTCATCGATCCTGTCGAGCCCCCTCCCCTCTCCCGCCATTCTCAATTTTATTATTACCTCCAACACCCCAGTGACGTCCCCATTGCAGAATCCGTTCTCCGTTCTTATTGAATTTGATTATCCTAGAATTGCAATATCCGTCGCTGACGAAAAAGTCACCATTGGTATGTACAGCAACTGCGGTCGGCTTACAGAATCTGATCTCGTCGTTACCGGGCTCAAAAGCTACTCCCAGAATTATGGATGGTTTCAGTACGCTATTTTCGAATGACGCACTGGCGTGACGATCAGACACGCTTATTTCCGTGCTAAATTGTGCGCGCTTCAATTCATCCATATGCTTCTCTATATCTTGAGCATCAAACTTGAATACTTGATGCATTCCCACATCGGTAATCCAATAATTTCCAGAGTGATCGACGGTCAGACCATGTGGAAGATAAAACATGTTCTTGCCCCATTCTAACAACGTCTTTCCACTCTTGTCCAGAAGTATAATTGTGTTTTGCACTATTCGTCCATAGGTGGGGTTAAGCCTGTTTGCATTATCGAAAGTGTCAAACCCCCAAATGCGATCTCCTCTGTGAAATATAGCGACATTGCCATTTGGATCCATAGAAACAGCTGATACTTGAGTGAAATTCAATTGTGCTGCCCATTGTCGATCCCACACTATGTCTGATAAAAAACACAAGAAAATGTGAATCACATTGTTTCTCTACAGGAATTGATGAATACATACTTTTATTCGAAGTCTGTGAAGTTATCGATTCTTCTTTAGGATGATTAGCAAGCTCATTTTCATTAGCTTTCAAATAGGTGTCTTTCGAGTGCTGTATCTGATCCAGTTGTGCTACAGCTTCTCTGTCTCTTTCCTCATTATCAGGATATTCCAAATATTCATTTGAATTAAATTTTGTATCAGAAAAATGCTGTAATACAGAAGGAAAGTGTTTCTTTCATTTTTCTACTTATGTATGTACTTACAGGATTAGTGTCTGTTCCTACGAAAGATTAACAATTTATATGTGGTATCAAATAAGAAGGTACATAATGTTAATATGTTGATATCATGAAAAAGATGATAAATATATAAGCCTCATTCTAAAGTATTACATTTTTCTTTATACCAAGATATGTACATATGTACTCGCATAATTACCTGGGCATTCGAAATATCCTGCGCGTCTGCCTTGACGTGAATTAAAATTGAAAGTAAAATTAAAACGAAGCAAACGATGTCATATCGAGGTCTCGTCATCGTTTCGCGAAACCGTCATCAGGTGTTGTCGTGTCTCCGGTGTATTTCGTCAATATAGTAAATATCGATAACGTCCACGATACTGGACCGTATGAAAGACCTTCATAACTTTGTAATCACAGAAATACTTCAGCGAACCATGTCAGATGTTTCGACAAGTCGCGTCGATGCTGCACGTTTTAGTATGTTCGATCATACACGACAAGTAGACAGCCTATCACTAAATCAATTGTCACTGTTGATCTAGATCTTCAATTCGTTTATAAATATATCTGTTGCGAACGTGACGCACGCACGATATCGCTGAATAGCGGCGTTTGAAAAAATTTCGCAGCACAAATGTCGACGTGTCAAGAGAGTGCACATTTCCAACAAGTGGCGTCAGACATAACGCCATAATGTTTTGAGACGTGCTTTACCGATGACGAATTCTGCGAGCATCCTTAGCTTCCACCGATAGCACAGATGTGAATCTAGTTTCGCATTACTCACGTATAAAGGCGCTATGTGTATTACTTTATCAAATTTTCGTCGAACTTCTACAAAAGTTTTCATGAGGAATTTTTCGAGTCTCGCTTTTCTTTTGTAAAAAATTTAAAAGTTTATTAAGGTCTTTATAATTTAATAATTCTCAGTTTCAAGTATTTTGTCTTTTGAGTTATAAATTGAGTTGCTATTAAAAATTTTAGTCAGAATCCTCCAAAAGTCGATTAAAAAGTATGTTGTTAATCATATTTTTCATATTTACAATAACTACTATTTTATCGCTCTATGTTATATTTTTTTATACTACTACATATATAATATATCAGAGAAAAAAGTAGTATTATGGGCCCCATTTATGTTTCGTACAATAACTCTGTCAACAAATAATATTTTTAATTGAGAATTGAACGATTATATTCGTCAAAATGTTGTTTAATCGATTTTAAACTCAAAATTATAAAATATTTATTACTTAGGACATTATTTGTAATTATAGAGCTTTTTCATTTATAAAAATGTGGCGACATTGCATAATGGATTAAAGAGAAACAGGGAGGGTAATTTAGTCTTCAAATAAAATAGATTTAAAAAAATTTATTCTGTTTAAAATAACAGTGTTTTCTTACAAAATTATATATATTCAAAATAAATTCTTAGAAGGAATAATATTACCTTTTTCACTTTCGACCGAAAACGAATATTTGGTTCTTTCTTTAATTTCAGTTTAAATCGAAACTTTAGCGGAAGTTTTATAAAAGTTAGAAGGATAAATTGAAAATGAATTTCATAATGAAAATATACATTTATATTATGATATTTTATTCAATTATAATATCTGTATGTATGTATGCGTATGCGCGCGCGATGCATATGTGATACATTATTAAATTTTATTAAATATAACGTTAAAAATTTCGGTTGCTTCAATAATGGATACGAAAAATGAAAACTATAAAATAATAGTCTTTATAAACTTAAAAAATATATTTTTTGGAAACTTATGATTACATAAGTTTCCACACACTTATGATTGCATTTGTACTTTAGTTATATGAAATAAAATATGCTTACGATTTAAGGAGAAAAATTTCGTAGTTTGTGGCGCTTGCCACATCGGCATCAGCTCTGACCGATATGTTATGACTTGATCAGTTTCAGTTTACATCGAAACTCTTTTTCAATTTTGGTCGAAACTAAAACTAAAACCGAAATCCTTATTTTTGACCAAAAATAGGACGTCTTAATTTTTAAAATTTAGGACGTCTAGGAGGTTCTAATTTTTTTGTTTTAGGATATTCATTTTCACTAGGCGTAACCTCTTGATATCCATTTTTTGAAAATACAAGATTAAATTGATATAGCTCAGAATTAATGTTAATATAATAAATTTAATTTAATATAATAATGTTCTTTCAGAAACAATTTTTTTAATATTAAATAAAATAAATAATAAAAAGAACGGTTATTTGTGTGCACTTGGCTCCTTTTTATGATATTACATTATATCATAAGGCATAGATAATATCGAATTATGTTTGAGAACATCTTCGTATTTTATAGATATTCCACAGTTCAGGGATAATATCGATTCATAAATATCGTAAGCATTTTGTTGCCGTGAATGTGAATATATTCTTGCATAAATCTTATATCACACACACACATGAATAAGGTCGTTCATTGAGATTAGCGAATCCGTTATTCACACAATTGCTCGTGCTTCTGCTTGGAGATATTTTAACTTTCAACATTTCAAAAGCGCGGAGAGATATAACTTTCAATATTACGGCCGTTCTTGCGTCCGGGATCGAACTGATAGAGTAGCTATTGTAGCTGTTTCCATTATAATCAAGATTGACTTATAATAGTTATCCTTTCGTTCAATTATAATAGTTATCCTTTCGTTTAAACTCTCCATTATGCGTAAGTACGCGATAGCCATTACATTGTTTTCTCAATCGTTTGCAGATTCGTCGAGAGAGGAAAAGAGCAACGATATAATGTGAAATTGTTTAAAAGGATAATTCAGTACATTGAATCGTTTTTTATTTTAGGGTATAAAATTGCAAAGAATCTATTGCACGAATCGATAATCGACCCGCACTCACAGTGGAATTCATGTCACGTAAAAAATACATTTTGAAGCGACGGTTTTGCGCGGAGCATTAGTTTAAGTACTATGCGCAATATATAACTTCGAAGGATGGCGCGTATTTTTTAGCAGAATTTTCCGCGGATTTTCTTGACAATCGGAAGTTCGAAGCGTCAGGTTTAGCTTCCATATTGATTTGCCTCCGTTCGTATTTTACTTCCCCGCTCTCGCACGCTAATCCTTAGACGGATGAAAAGCTTTACCGTTTGAATGTTCCGCAATCCAATACAGTCTGTATCCGCCAGACGACGTCGCCGGAATCCGTCACGAGAATTTCCCGTGGCGTGGTTTCGTCTGGAAGGGTTGAATTTGTACTGGAATCAATGCAGCAGCCTCGTTCGATCGTGGATTGCATTCCACGCCAGCCTGTCGTGAATACATTATTTATGCGCCTATGGAGCTTTATTTTTATAATATACGAGATTAAACTTTCTGTCCTTAATGCGCCGCGAGTCGACGAAGAAACTTTACTTCTCGAATATCGCCGGGGCGAAACTTTCAAATTGCCGAAGTGTCCGTAAACGAGGAAGGTCATTTCCAGTAATAAGACCGCGATCTAATTGGGAAACAGGCTTCGCGTAATGAAATTTTCATGATACCCTAGCGATTGTATATCCCATACGACAGACTTTTATCGATTAATCCAAGTCGAATTTTGAAATCAAAATTCTATTCTGCTTGTCTATCGTATTAAACAAAGCGACGTCGGTGTGTTTTGTCCGGTCGTACGATCTTAAAAAGGTGCATTGTTCGCACAAATGACGCAACGTTCTGAACAATGTGTATATCGACCCCCTGCAGTGGTGGTTTTCTCCTATTATATTCATTGTACTATTCCTGTCATTTTGCACGCAAGATGCGTTGGAGTGTTATCCAGGCTCGACAATGGCGGTGCTCATCCTTTCGCTCAATCGAAAGCGTCGATTCCGCATTCATCGCGTTGTCCGCGTCGACGCCCGATTTTCACCTTAAACTGCAGACGACAGTGAGTTCTTTATTACGGTGAGAGAGAGAGAGAGAGAGAGAGAGAGAGAGAGAGAGCGATTGTCAGCCGCGAATAAACATAAAGAGATATGTAGGACCCCCCCCCCCCCGCGGTTGGGTGATACCCGACCGGGAAGACCACGTTCGATGAGCGACATTACGAGCCCTTCTCGTTGTAGGACACCGAAAGGATTTGACAATCGTTTTGTTCCTCTTTTTTCCCCTGCTTCACCTTTCCCGCCTCTTCTCATCTCCTTCCTGCCTGCGACTCATTTATCTTCTTTTGGGAAATGCAGTGCGACGCGCGTGCGAGTACGCGCGAGAGAGAGAGAGAGAGAGAGAGCTTACAAATCCATTTAGTGCGCCACTCGGAAAATAAAGAAACGCGGCCGTCTCTATTTCTATGCTAAGCAGTCGGACGTGCCTCGTGCGAGTATATTCGCAACAAATTTTACACCGTGAATATGCCTTCGACCCAGTTCTTAATGTACTTTATCTTCTTTTTCTTCATTTTATTCTGCCTCCTTTATCATTTACATTTTCTATAATCTTTTTAACAATATAATCTTTTAACTACAAAGTTTCGTTGAAATCCACTAACGTTTTAATTTTCACATGAGGTATCCATTATACAGTCTCTAATTAATGAAATTAATTGGATCTTCGAATTTTATCAATGGAAGATTCAACGTAATGCAAGGAACGAGGGATTAAAAAATAATAAAAAGTACACTCGAAAAAACGTTGTATATACACACGAGTATAATAGAAAAAGAAGTTGTATTAAATAATTTTCATTTTATCTCGATGTTTTTTTAACTCTCTCCCGCTCTCTTCACGCATCAAATATTCTTTCATTAAAGAAGCGAATAATTAAACTTTTTTCTCCCTCTCTCTCTCTCTCTCTCTCTCTCTTTCTCTCTCTCTTTCACTCTCTTTCGCTCGGTCCTATTATGATGTAGTAAAATTAAAAAGGACACATCTGCGACCTATAAAATTAGACAGCATCAAGATGAAGCCTTCGATATAGCGTCATCGTTATCGTTCTTAAATGTCGCGTTAATCCACAAATACGCTTTTCGTCGCTCGGCAAGAAAAATCGACAGCGAAATGCAAAAGCGCGCGCGTGGACACAATCCGCGGAGATTCTTTAATCTCCCGCCGCGCGATTCGACGCGTATTTGTGATAGCCGTTCGTGCAGATACGGCTGCCGCGTATCGAGTTTGGTTTCACGCGGTTTAGCTTTTAAATTGCGGAGTCGGCGCTTCCCTTTGATAGCTAGGGGATAAACGGGGCGCGTACGCGCGCGGAAAGGCGGGCACAAAATAACGGGATGCGATTCCGCGTGTCACGGCGATGACTGGCATTCATTAAAATATATGTGTAAAGGATCGCGATTATGCGCCAACGCGAGGAAATAGTATGCATGGTAGCTGTGATTTAACCCTGATGTGACGCGTTTTCCCATTTTCTCTCTCGACAAATGTGGTCGTAGTTTCTCACGTTAACTCTTCCATGTCCCAGAGAAATCTGTTATGAATGAAAATAAAATTAGTATTGTTATAAGGATTTTCGAAGTTGCTGATTATACAAAACTGAAGTTAAAATAACCAAAATTAAAATGACGATATCATATGTTGATATCTGTGAAAGTTATGATTTTTTTTGTAACCGGCGCACACATTTATCGCAGGTACGAAAGGGTCGAATTATCTGGTTGTAAACAAGAAGCGTTTTTATCAAACGAAATTATTAATTATACT